AAAAAATATACAAAACTAATACCAATGGTGACATGACTTTTCCCAGATATGAAAAATTCCAATTAATCTATGTAGTTTGATATGTGCATATTTGCATTTTTTAACAAAAGTTGAATCACTCTACTTGCTGTCAATTGGATGAACTCCTACTTATCCTTCAACACTGTACAGCATAGGTTTTCCTTCACAATCGTGTGGCTGACTGGGAGCTCTGGCTTGCTACCATTGCTTAGGATATAAGAATATCATACTTCATATTGCTAGTGAAGGAAAAGATCCAAATTTTGAAATTCTAAGCTAAGTTTCTACTGAATGTGGATGACTTTCACAGCATCCTGAAGTTGAAGTGTCTTAAGACAAGCCATCACAGATCTGGGGCCACGTCTACTCACAGTTTCTTACAGGTGCCATTACTATAGCATGTGTCACTTTACTCAAGAATTTTGCTTTGGTATGTCTCTTTGGTGTCCATAAAAATATATATCTGTCAGATCTCTTCAGTGATATTACTCAACAGTCCCTGCTGCAACTGTGAACCCACCTCTGCATTCACACTAAGACTACTTTTCCATGGATGCTTCCTATTAAAGATGAGGCACAGCAATCGATACTTAGACTTCTTCAGTGAGTAACAGTACACCTCTGACAGGTGACTCTGGTTCAAGACCTTTTTATAAAATAGCCAGATGTACTGGCACACACCTATAATTCCAGCACTCACAGGGCTGAGGCTGAGTTGGCTTGCTGTGAGTCTGAGGCCAACATGGACTACACAGTGAATTCAAGACCAGCCCGACCTACGTAGTGAGAAACTGACTCAAACAAACAAATAAACACCAAACCCAAAAAATCTTCAAATCAGGTGTACTTACAGATGCTTGTAGTTACATATCCAGGAGGCAGAGGCAGAACTGCTAAAAATATGAGTCCAACCTAGACTATGTAGCAAATTTAGGGCCAGCCTAGACTATACAATGAGACCTTGTCTCAAAAACAAAAAGTCTTTCTCACCAACTTTCCTTCTTTCTCTTTCTCATTTACAGGTTTAGACTCGCATCTTTTTTTTTTTTTTTTTTTCCTGTATTTTAGGGAAGGTTCTACAGGGTGTTCAGGGTATTACTTCTAGATTGGACTCGTAGTGATTCTCCTGTTTACAGCCTCCTAAGTGCAGGGATTACAGGTGTGCATCACCATGTCCAGTCTCAATTGCTATCTCAGCACATCCCAGGGGTGGGGCTGGCATGACAGGCCTGGGTATCGAACTCCTGGCCCCTAAGCCTGCTTACAGGCACTTTAATCCACTGAGGTATTTGGCCGGCCTTTGCATCATGTTCTTATAGCTCCTCCAGCTTCTCCCAACTCCCTCCTGATCTTTCTTCACTGGAATTTGTCCTGATAAATCTCCTATATACTTAATCATGTGTTGCCATCAACTTCTCAAAGGACCCAAATCAATAGTCTCTCCCATTAAAAAAAAAAAAAAAAATCCAGGAGCTGGTTGTAGTAGCAAATACCTGTAATCACAGGAGACTGAGAGGCAGGAGACTGAGAGGCAGGAGACTGAGAGGCAGGAGAAATATCATTTATTTGAGGCTATCTTGGCTATTGAGTTCAAAGCCAACCTCAACTATACAGCAAGACCCTTTTTAAGAATAAATTCCAGGGCTGAGGATATAGCTCAGTGGTACAGCACCTGCTTGACAAGTATGAGGTCCTGAGTTAGATTCCTGGTTCCCCCTGATTAAAAAAAAAAAAATCCAGCTGCTGCATTTGCTGGTACACCTATAATTCTAGCCACTTACTAGGCTGAGGTAGAAGGAAGGAGGATCACAAGTCTGAGACTGGCCCAGATAATTTAGTGTGAGTCTCTCTCAAAATAAAATTAAATTAAAAATATAAAACAAGGGCTGAATATGTAACTCAGTGGAGTAACACTTACTTAGCATTCCCAAGGCCCCTAGTTCAATTTCTAGTATGAAGAAAAAAAAAAAAAAAATCCAGAGGGTAAGTGATTTCATCTAGTTATCCTTATATTTTTGCATCAAGCCTTCCCAACAAATGCGCTTTCTAAATGACTTGATAAATAACTGTTACTTCCTCATGAACCTTCACCAACTTACCTGCCCTGGAGTCTTTTAAGAGTTTTCTTTCTACCAGTCTTGGTAATTCAACCCATTTTAGCTGGGAAATCAAATCTAATTTGGAAACTTGAAAGCCTGCTCATAGAGAAAAAAAAAAGAAAATGGTTACGCATACAGTAAGACACATTAACATGCATGCGTAGCACTGGGCCATCCAAGCAAGAGAAGAGATGCTATCAAGCACAGACTTCAATAGTGGAATCAGATGAGGGAATGGGGGAAACAAGGCTCCACACTTCCAAACAACGAAGCAAAGACCTTTTTGTAGTAGGACACACCATAGAAAAGTGGTTTTTGGAATCCATTTTTAAGATCAACCATCAGTTCCTGGATGCCCAGCCAAAACAAAGCGTAGGAGAGGGAGAGTAAATTGGCACATGGCACCAATCTTTCCATACCAGAGGACAAAAAGATAGTCAGCTTAGTTGCTAGGACATTAAGAAAGCATCTTTAGGGCCAGGGAGATGGCTCAGTGGAATAAGCGCTTCCCTGGCAAGTGCAAGGGCCTGAGTTCAATCCCCGGTTCTGCAAAAAAAAAAAAAAAAAAAAAGAAAGAAAGAAAGAAAGAAAGCATCTTTACCCAGAAATTCTAAGTGTTTTAAGTTTTCCAGCAGCACATCCTTAAACAGCTCCTTTTGAGAAGGCTCTAGCTTCCTCCACTCTCTTCTGGAAAAGCTCATGACCACATCTTTGAATGCTATTGGTTCCTAGAAGACCAAACATAATCCTTTTGCATTATGTTCTTCCCAAGCAGACCCAAAGGATTCAGAATTTTTTTTAAATGTATTTAGCACAAGGTGTACTACCCAGATCAGACTTGTAGTGATCCTCCTGTTTTCAGCCTCCCAAGCACTGGGATTACAGGTGCGTGCCACCACGCCCAGTATCAATCACTCCCCAGGGGTGGGACTGCCACACCAGGGATCGAACCCTGGTCCCTGCATTTGCCTAAGCAGGCACTTTAATCCACTGAACTATGTGACCGGCCCTGATTTGGAAAATGTTTAGGATAGAAACTAGCAGTTTTGATAATATTTAAGTTTTAAAAATTCTCAACGATGGAGTGGCTATTATATGACTATTTGTAGTGATACAGAATAAAGAAATCACATCATCTCTTCTTCTCCCTTTCAGTCTCTGGTGTCAACCCTAACCCTCACATTGAATTTACTGTGAATGCACTAATTTATGGGATTAAAAAGAAAATCAGAGGGGCTGGTGAGATGGCTCAGTGGTCTAAAGCACCTACTTAGAACAAGCTTAGCAAAGCACAGGGACCACAGTTCGATCCCCCAGCACCACATGCCAGCCAGCCCCGCCCCCTGGTGGGATGAGCTGGCCACACACACACACACACACACACACACACAAATAAATAAATTTAAAAAAAAAGAAAAAAAAGAAAAAGAAAATCAGAAACCAAGGGTATGATGTGCATTCCCAAAGCCCAAATTTGCAGAATTAAAATAGGTTATTAATACCACCAATTGCCTTCCACATTTTAACTTTTAGTCTATGTATAGCAACTATTTTTTATGTTCAATAGCATGCATGTGGAGGTTCTATTTACAAACAAGCAAACTGATTCATTACATTTTCTACTACATGCTATGCATGAAATTTGACAGGTAGAATAAGAGTTCTTTAGCACTTGTAGCAGCTTCCAATGGATACAATGTCATAAACAAATTACTATAACCTCAGTGGGTTAAAACAATAGAAAGGTATTCTCTCACAGTTCTGGAGACCATAAAGAGATCAAGGTGTTTGCCCGGTTTATTGCCTTTAGAAACTTCAAGGAGGCAGTTCTTGGCCTTCTGCAGCTTCAGTGGCTGCTGTATTCCTTGCCTTTGGCCATATCACTTCCAACTGCCTCTCTCTTCACATCATCATCATCGTGTATTCAACCTTCTTCTAATAAGGACATCTATGATAGAATTTGGAGCCTACTCATATAATCCAGGATAACTTCCTCATCCTTAAACGCTTAACTCAATCACACCTGTCGAGATCCTTCTTCAAAATAAAGTAACATCCCCAAGTGCCAGCACTCATTATTGGACTTTTATGGCACTATTACTTCTGTGAGTAACGTTTTTACTAATTAGTAATTAATGTACAGAAAACATGTTGATATGTAACCATCTGCCTTTTCCAGATGGTATTACATTCATTTCAGTACTTGTTCGGTTCTGTGAGGTTTTCCAAATGGACAATAGTACTGTCTGCAGTGTAATTTGTTTCATTCATACTAACACATATATTCTCATTTCCTTCTTACCTTATTATATTGGCTAGAATGTTTAGAAAATACTCATTAATAGCACAATTTTCCTGACATTGTGAAAACTGCTTTTTTATTTTCCAACACTATCTAGCTGGAGATCTTCTTTATTATAGTAACAACATACTTTATTTTTATGTTATTTTACTAGGAGTAACTGGTGACTTGCAGGAAACATTTGTTTTTTGAGTCAGAGTTGTTATGACACTGCTCTCACAGAAATAGCATGTGAAAACGCACTGTGAGTTTCCTGTACTATTTCTGTTTACTTATACTACTAAGAGCTCAGTTAAGTATTCATTTAAGAATGGAAACCACTGAAAGGAAACTTACACATGTCTCTGTATTTGGAACAGCAACCAGTTTATCTGCTTCTGAGTTATCCTCTTGGTCAATAGCAGAATCTTGAACAGTTGAAGCTAGAGGAGGGAAAAAAAAAAATCAGGTTTTTTTTTTTTTTTTTTTTTGGTATCGGAGATTGAACTCAGGACCTTGTGCTTGCCAGACAAGCGCTTAAGCCACTGAGCTATTTCTCCAGGCTCTGTCCAGTCTATCAAATGGAATCTTCAGACTAAAATTTTTTTCAGACTAAAAAAATCTTTATATATGGTATATGTTTCTGAGATACATAGTGCAGAAAAAGCACACAGATTTTTTCCTACTATCAACAGAACTCTTTTGTGATTCCAGATGTGTATCAAGGGGCTCCCTATACCAACCAGGTAACTATGCAATGCACTCTCTAGTGGATTACCAACTTGGGGTCCTCTGGTTTAATTCTGACACTATTTGCAAACAGCACCACATGCGGCAGGTTGAAGTCTCAGTCCCACAACACCATCCCCCCATTTCAGACACTAAGCCTGGCCTCTGGAACCTCTGACAGCCATAAATCACTGTTCCCACAACCCCCACCTTGGGGCAGAACCATTCTAATGGTTCAAAGAACTCAGAAAAATATTTTATTGCTTACCCATTATTACAAGGGATACAGCTGAACAGCTACAGGAAAGAGACTGAGGGCAAAACAGGAAAATGTTGGGAGCTTTTAAAATCGGCTAAGGCCTGGACATATTGGGATATAAATTTTTTCCATTCCCTTTTCCTCTATTAACTTCCATGTGTCAGCTGCTTGAAATTCTCAAACCCTATCCTTTTGGAGTTTTCAGGATACTGCATATAGATGTGATTGACTTGTGCTCCTCCCCCCTCTTGCAAAGTGGAAGGCAAGGCTTAAATTCCCACTCTCTCTATAAGTGGGGTTGGTTCAGGTGGCAATCAGGATCCAAGTGGTGGTTATGCAAAATCCGCTCATTAACAAGCTCAGGTTCACATGGAAAGAGCTTGTGATAAGTAACAAAGGCATTGCCTCTCACCTGGATAGTTCAGCTGCTGACCTGGCACAAGTTTTAGGTGCCAAGGAAAAAAGAGGTAATTCTAACAAAAGTTACTGCTCTCATTACTCAAGAAACTACAAGGTTATAGGAGCCATGCACCAGGATCTACCAATACAATCTAAAATATACATTTCCTAGTGTCGCAATATATCATGTTTCTCTAGACAAAATTAAGAAACAAACAGAATACCTGGTTCTCCCACTCTTAGAAAACAGAACAGCCAGGAAAAAATTAATTAGATTTTTCCCCCCTACTTCAGTAAATAATCCAGTTGACTTTCAATTCCTGAACTCAGGAAAACTGACTTCCTTCATTCCATCAACCCTTGGGTTTAAAATATTAAAGGCTTTTAAATATTTCTAATCACATGATGTATTTCACTTCTAGTCCTAGTATTCCTTTCACTTCCAGTCCTAGCACAATGCCATGCTCAAGTGTCATGTGAACGTGTTGAATGAAGGCACCAAGCTGGTCTCAAAAGCCAACTCTGCCTCTGGGATCACCAGCAGAATCTTAGGCAGCTTTACTGATTAGACAACTAGTAAAAATTAAAATTGCATAATCAAAGACAAACGAAGATTAAAGAAAATGTCCTCTCTTACTACATGCTAGCAATCAATTTTCTAGTATACGGCAGCCATACCATCTCTAATTTTGGAGAAGTACCATGCTGCACTGATAGGTAGAATTTATTCTAGCATGAGTTCTGAGAGAAAAATGGTGTTGACCTCCATATATTTAATTTGTGCTCATACAGCAAACTGGTGTGTCTAAAAGTGGGCTTTCAGACTCCTTTCTGATCTGTCATTGCAACATGATACTTTACTAAAATTTAGGCCTCTGAGAGTGAATCCCCTATGGAGTAAAATCTTGATTGCCAGCACTCTGTAAGGTGGAACAGTTTCCTTAATTTCCCATCCTTGATTTTGTAATTTTAATACTTAAATTGTATTCTTAAGATTTCTCCTTAGTAAATTCCTTCCTCTGAGTTTATTTCACACCGTAAAGAGATTTCCCCACTTCCTCCCTCCCTGTACAAAGCTCACCTTCCTTTTCCTCACATGTTTGTGTTAAGTCCTCTACCAGCGTCACCACCTCCTCAATACTCTTAGGGTTTTGTGACTTGACCCAAATTCTGATCTCCCCAGGCAAAGTGGTCAGGAATTGCTCAAACACTAATAGTTCTAAAATCTGTTCTTTTGTATGAATGTCTGGTCTTAGCCACCGAACACAGAGCTCCCAGAGTTGAGTCAGGGCTTTCCTGGGTCCAGCCTCTTGCGAGTAACGAAACAACCTGAACTTCTGTCTGAAAGACTCTAGGTCAGCAATATCTTCTTTTAAGATAGCTCCTTGATTCCCAGAAGTATTTACTTCTGGGATCTTGTTTTGTTTACTTGAGGTCAGCGCTGGAGGGTCTTCAAAGACGGCAGTCATCTTGTTCAAGGGTACCAGAGCTTGCATTGTGTATTACAAGCAGGGTTTCAGTCCCCTATAAATTGAAAATCAATACAGTTCACCAATAAGCACCATACACAGTCAAATATTGAGGTTTCCAGGGATCCAGTATAGTCTTGTAGTAACTCTGAAAAAAAAATAAGATGTACATAAATGAAATAAATTATTACACCTGAAGAGATTGTGTGGTTCACAAACATAGCCTTAGGAGACTTGGAACAGACCTAGTTCAGCTACCGTATTAAGGGATAATTTTCTTCATAGGTCAAAAGTCAAGGAGTTATATACTAGTAAAAAAAGATGTCCTCTGGGGAAGCAGTTACTTTAGACTTACTACTTACAAATCTTATCAGAAAAGGCCCACTGTTCCCAGGGATACAGTCATAAAGTTACTTACTTAACACCTGTCCCCTCTCAAATCTGTCATATTTCTCTTGCTCCTTACATTTTACGTAGTTAATAACCAAGTTCTAGCCACTCCATTTCCCAAGATCATCTCCACTGAAACTGCCCCAGGAAGGCTTCTTCAACCCAGTCTCGCACTGCAGCCAAAGGATTTCTTCTGATGTGCAGGGTGCTTCTGTCACACCTTGGTTTACAATCCCTCACCAGCCAACAGTCTCAGATGAAGTTCAACCAGAGCGTAGTATAACCTGGGAGAGGGCAGCGATGCCCTCACCTCGAGCTCTCTGGCTTACCCTGAGGACAGTTACAGACACAAAGAAAAACCTCCCCTTTCCCAGCCTCACTGCTCTCCTATCCTAGGGACCAGTTATTCCCTTTCCTTGGGATGCTGCATTCTTCCTATCTCCTAACAAACTTACTTTTTTTCTTAACTTTTCATTTTTCCCCCCAAACTTTCATTCAGTTTTTAAAACTCTTTTCAACCATCTGCGCTTGTGTGAAGCTCTGACGGTACCCCAAACGGTCCCCGTGTTGCAGGCTTGCATTATTTTACAAATGACTGAGCAGTGACAAAGGGTCGGGCAGAGCCTCCATTCTCACGAAGAGTGGAGCAAAGAGCCCAGTTTGCAAAGCACCAAGCCGAGAAGGCGCGCTCCCCATCGCAATTACCCCAGTAGCGACTCAGCCCCGAGCCCCAGGCCGGGCACAGGATACGCACAGCGCCACTTCCTCCTTTGCCAGGTGCGAGTGAGGCGCCTACCAGGTACTGGCGCCCCTGTGGGTAGCGGTGACCCCGCGGGCGACTCAGCGGTGACGAAGTGCGTTTGGCTCAGTCTCCAGGGAGCCTGCCGCAGAGTCTCTGAAAATGTGACGCACGCACGGGGAAGAAGGTGAGGGGGCGGCTTTCCCTGTGGAGGTCCAGTATTTGTAACGCTTGGAGGCCCTTTAGGGGATCAGGACCCGAGAAAGGATGCTACAGGTATCCGGGGTGCGGATAAACATCTGGCAAAGAGTGGCCCCATACACACGCAGCCCGCGGAGCAGCCCCAGGGACCACCGTTCTCCACCCGTATCCCGGCCCAGCGGCATGCTCAGGCCGGGAACCGCAACTCGAAACTAGGGGCCCAGGACAACCAGTACCTGCAACCGCGTCCACAGCCAGCTCCTCCTCAAGGAGCTTCCAGAAGCTCGTCCCGCAGCTGCTGCGCGCGCACGCCCCCAGCCACCGCGCCTGCGCACAGCCTCCCAAATGCGCTTCCCAAAGAGGGCTCCTTCCCCCTTTCTCAAAGTCTTGTGCTTTCCATAGGCTCCCGCCTGGCCTGTTGCGCATGGTTAATGGGAAGCAGTTGGTGGGCTCGGCAGTGGAATTAATCCTGCGCCAGAGGCTTACCAGGCCTGGGAGGATTCTAGGATCTTCAGATCTTTCCCTGTCTCCTTGGCAACCCCAAATCTTCCCAAACTTTCTCCAATCTACCATTGTCTGTAATACAAAGTGGAAAAACCCACTTCTACAAAGTGTACTAACAGTACATTCAATCCAAGGGATGACTAACGCCGCTACTAAATAAATGTGCATCTTCTCACACAACAGCTAGGAATATAACCAAAAGGTCAAAGCAGATTTTAGAAAAGCTCTTGCCGTTAAGTGTTGTTAGGTGCCAAATTCTGTCTACTAGAAATATTACA